AGTTTCGGCGGGCATGAAACTTGTGTCGAGCGGACCGAACTTCAATCAATCCTAGAAAACTTCAATTGGAGTTTTTAATGGAATCAAACTCATTTTAGTGATTGACTAAGTAAGGGCTTCGAAATCCCAGCTTATGAGAAAAATTGAATTTTCGAAGTAAAATCAGTGGGCGGTTCTTACAGAGACAGCCTCTTAATTTGTATGTATTGGTTTGATCCAGAACGTATACAAAGAATGGGTTTTTTAACCATGACGTAGTCATCGCTTAATGCTGGTGCGCAGCATTCCTTTGGATAGTGAATTCGCGCTGCGCTTATGTCACGCACGATTTACCCCTCGGTGGAAGCGAAATGCACTCTGGGAGCTAGTAAATAAGACCAAAAATTCGCCGTCTTTGGTTTCGGAGAGTGAGAAACTTGTCCTTTGCGGCCGTCGTTTGCAGTTTGTAGGATCCGCAGAGAGCCTTTAATTTCAGCATTTAAACAAAAATTTTGAGTGCGGATTGTGTTTTATCCAGTATAGGATAAATTTGTGGTCAAGGACAAACTCGTAATAAGAACATATCGTCCATACATACAACTTTAGATCGACAAGCAAGTCGCACAGACGATAGGTCATAACTGTCCGCGACACCTTGAGGTAGAGACCAATATCCTACCACGAAGCAGGTTACATCTTGCCTAATGGCCTTAGAAAAACATTTTAGTTTTCTTTTGGTGCAATGTCAATCAAATCTGAAATTCTACAAATTAGATTTCACAACACAAGCACGCATCGTGTGTACATAGCTCTTGCTTCAACATTTTCCCAATTGTCACAACGTTATCAGTTGTAACTCTTCAGTATGGCCAACTACTTTAATCCGTACGAATTTCAACGTTTTCAGTTTTCATAGCATAGTGGAAATGACTCAGCTGATTTGTTTTCAGCAGCAAAACGCACAGCCACAAGCAGCTTTGTCGTCACCTCCCAGTCTAGAGCAGCCTTCAGTTTCACAAAAGAAGCATCCCCGGGAGAGAAAACGTCTAAAAAGAAAAAGGCTAGCTGATGATGATGCTTGAACGATGAGAAAGTCCTTTTCAGCTTTGGGCCGATAATATAATGTTATCAGAATGGTATCATATATCTTTTATGTCGCAAACGTGCGACCCCAGTAAGCCTCTGCGGGTAAATGCCCGACAAACTTGCGGACAAAAACAAAAAAATAGGCGCCATATAGGCGCATGTGACTACTGCTTGAAAGGTATGCACACAAAAAGTAGAATTGTCCTATATATGCAGTTATGTGAAGAATGTGTGCAAATGGTTAGATTATGAATGTTGGTGATTAGAGGCACTCTTGAATGCTAATAAGCTATTAAAGAATGTTTGAATTTGTACAAAAAGAAAAAAAATGGTTTTCTAATAGGCCAGTTTCATCCTATTAAAATTCTAACATGGCCACGAGGCTTCGGGGAATAAAACAAAAGAAATTAATTATTCATTCCTCAACCTTAATGTGATTTCTTTTCTTGTATTTCCTCAAGCCTCCAAGTTGGAATTTTGATACATCAAAAATGGCCTATTAGTACATGTGGGTGTCACCAGTGGAACAGTTAACAGAATCAAGTGTAGAACTATCAGCAGTGTATGATGTATGGTGTACGAAAAGTAATCAGTAAACAAACCTGATGAGACAAAAACATTTTTTTAATATTTTAATAAACTGAGGAAACAAGATTTATGGTAAACAACACAACGAGAATGGTACAAATCAGCAACAGTTCTGGGGTTGATCGAGAGTACTTGTATTATGGAAGAAGTAAAGGTAACTTTTGCTACACCCGGCACTACAGGGACGAGTAAGTGAGTGAGTTAAGGCAAACACTCTGGACAGGTACCTCATTGTGATCAGCTAAAATAGTGAKAACAGTTACACCAGTGAGTAACCTTGAGGTACAAAGCAGCACTCTACTGTGAAACAACGAGCCTTGTTTTCATTCCCCACCATTCATCCACACTAAAGCCCTCCATAGTTGTTTTGCTGTAGTCAACCGTTTTGATTACTTCTCTAATTCTTAAATTGCAACATTTCAGGGGCATGCATTTTTGAAAAATCCTGGATCCGCAATAATTACAAAACAACTTGGTCAGATCTTTTTAAAAGAAGTTGTCATATCCTTACTTTGTATATCTAGTAGTAAAGAGAGCAAAACATATTGAATGCATCGTTTAACAATTCAATTGGTTTTTGGTTTTCTCCAGAGACTATTAACAGAGTAAACAGACAAAAAATAGATCACGTGTACTAAATGCATCTGGTTGAGTGTCCATCGATACCCTCAATCAACCTGTAATTGACACTCGATCAAAATCTTGATCGACACTCAATCGACATCCCAGCTGATATTCGTTCGACACTCTATTGACACTTGATCAACAGTCGGTCGAAAGTCCGCCGAGTGTCGACGGACTCATATGCAACAATCCAAAATTAGTTGACTCTCGACCAACTGTCAACTGAGATGTTGATCGAGTGTCAATCAAGGGTCAAGGAAATTGATCAACACATGACCACAGCTGCCTTTAGTTTACATTACCCGCAAAAATAATAAAACAAAACTAACTACATGCATGTATGTAGCTAGATATACATGTAACTAGGTATTACTGTATAAAATAATGACTTTAGCTTTTTTTTTCCTGAAAGCAGGTAGGTTAAATGTTTGTATAATTCTTTTTCTTGTTGCTTTGTTATATGTAACTTTTTCCTCCAATCATTCTCTTTTTGATAGAGAAGAGCTAGTTTTAGACATCACCAAAACTGTGTTACTGACAGCTGACATTGCATTGGTACAAAGTTGAATGGCCCTGTTGATACATAGAGTAATTTATTTATGTGACCTAAATAGCATTGACTTCTGCAATAAGTGGATTGGATTCTGTCTGCGAGAGCTTGAATAATGAGATTATAACATCATGTACATGTACCTTGGTGTGACAAATTTATTCTGGAAATCTCATTTTGCTTTCAATAAACCTAGTGGGATGTTCTAGAGCTCAAATACCGGGTGGGGGTATTCCCTTATATGAGCTGCCCCAAAGGGTGTGGTTTTTCAGCCGTTTTGGTCATAAATAGGGGGTGTGGACAAAACGTGGGGTAGGCCATGGTGTAGACCATGGCCTACCCTATGGCCCACCAGTGGTCAGATTTTAACAACATTAACAAAACATCAGTAAGAGTCGAACGAGTTAGCTAGCATAAAATGATATCCCTCTAATAGGGGTATACTAAAAAGTCACTAACATGATTCTCAACATCAGAGGGAACGAAACAATGGAAACCTTACAGCACTCAGCCTTGAAACATCCTATTTCTCGCTGTCTTCGACATCTAGCTTCCCCAGCCAAGCAATCAACCATAACGGCAGGCTAGGAGGGAGGGGAAAGGCCCGGGTGGGACTCTCATATAAAATAGACGGATGTGCTGGTCGGAGAGTTTAGAAAGAACCCCTAAGAGGTACCAAAACTGCGTTTTTAACCCCTAAAAGGTATGGCAAGCACCCCTG